AAAAAAAACAACTTACTACTACTTCACAAACATTGACAAATGAACTCTAATAGTACAATCCAAGGCGCCAAGGTTCAAAGACACAGATCAGCACCGATAGCAATGGATGATCGAACACGCCTACTAAATCATCAAGGTAGAGATGATCATAGAGTGAGAGTGAGAGTGTAGTGTAAAAGTGTAAACGTACGTCTTTGAACTGGACGAGGCCGAGATCGCCAAGATAAGAGACGGTGAGATGAGCAGATTCCATGGGAACAATGAGTTGAACGAGTTGCATAGGCTCAGAACGCATCAGATCCATCGGCGGACAGCAACCACCACCACCACCGTGACTCTCCGCCATATCTTCTTCGTTTCAATTTCCGAATCTCACGGAGGAGGAGGAGGAAGATCTCGGATTCGTGATCTCTCTGTCTCAGTGGATCGATGAGCTGAGGGGGACAATTTTGAGCGAGAGAGAGAGAGAGAGAGAGGTGAATTTGTTGTCGTCTCGTGTAGTTTGTTACTGCCACGTATTTCTTAATTTTTTTGTATTTTGTTGAATTATTATTATAATTTTGTCTGACAGCAAAAAAAAACAAAAACAAAAACTATCTATATTTATGGAAATCATAATAATCTTTTACCATGAAAGTGGACAATTAAATTCAAAATTAAATATATGTAAACATATCTATTTTGAATATACATAAACATATTTAATATTTTAATATACTTTCGAAATTAATAATTTATATAGAATGAAATCTAATAAAACAAAATCATCAAATATCTAAAAAAACAAAGATAACATTTTTTTTTGAAAAATCAAAAGATAAAAAAATATGTTAGCATATGAAATAATCAACTAATCAAATTCTACATAGTATATATACATAACTGATCATATCATCAAATTTTTTAAAATTATATAATTTTAAAATATAAATAAAAATTAAATAAATCAATAATTAAATATTTGTTTGCTAAAATTATGCTAATAAACATTCTAGATCACATAAATTTCTTATTTTCACATTAAAAAATATTCATATTCAAAAAGCAATCTAGCAATTATAGAACAAAAGATATCTATAAAATTTATCATTAATTCAATTAGTTAATGATTTTTTATTTGGTCAAACAGTTAGTTAATGATTATTCTAAACTTCTTTTTTCTTATTAATTTCACACAATCTTAACAAAATAAATCTTCATCCATGGCAATTTACATATCATTACTATTATCAAATATTAAATAATTGCTTTATCAAATCATAAACTACATTTTGAGATTATAAACATATAGAATTTCTATTAAGATTAAAACTAAATAACAAGTGGATATATCACATTTAAATGATTTTAACGACTTATTACCAATTTTTAAATAATAAATGGATTATATTTTTATGATTTAATCTAATTGAAAACAAATAAAATGTCAAATTGGTATGATATAAATGATATAATAAATAAATATCTACAAACATTATCTCACATATACGTACAATTTTAAACTATCCTTGACAAATATGATATATAAGTTTTGGATAACCGGTTGAAAAAAAAAAACTGGTAGTTATATTTAACTCTCAAAATCTCAAAATGTTGAACAAAATTCAACTTTGGGATGTATAAATCTTTACTTTTGGACGATTATATAAAATTTTACATATATTAAAATTATATTTAGTTACATGTAAATGGTGTTATTTATTAAAAAAATATAAACTTATAGGAATGGATATGAGACGGGAACATATAATTCGAAAAAAACATTATCTGAATTATTTCTCATAAAAAAACAAAATGTGATTAGATATAATTGTTATGAGACACGGTCATAAAGTTAAATTCACTTTCAACTTTCAAATATAAAACTACGAGTACGATACGAGGACATGTAATTTAAATTGTTAAATTTAATTTCCACTTTCCTATTTATTTCAAATATTTAGAAATATTTAGACATGAAATGACGGGTATAAGAAGATAACGTATACTTCGGATAACAAAACTACAATAAGTCCATGTATTAAAAAATAGAGATACTTAAATCTTTAGAAAACAAAAAGGCTAAAACATGAATCGTTGAATTGAAGAAAGTAATGAGAAATAAAGATGAACATGAAAGATCAATAAAATTAAAAATCGAACAAGGATTGTGTACGCTAGGATTACAGACAATGCCTTGTGAATGAAAATGGTGGGAGCATGTGATTTAGATTGATAATTAGATTTTTATTAGTTTGATAAAAATAAATATTTAAACGAGGAATACGGGTATCTTGTCTAAATCTTTTACCAAGTTTTTTATAATAAACATTGTCAAATGATTATGTTTTAAAAAGAAACGATTATGGGACGGAGATTTTATGAGACGGGACGGGACGGGGCGGGGTGGGACGGGACGGGTCAGGACGAGACGGAAAGGGGCATGACGGGTTTTCCATTATAAACTACACATAAAACAATTCAAACTAAAGCTAAACCCAAATCCGATTTAACATGTTTAAGCAAACAGTTAGAAATGTTTTGATTAGTTTAAAAAATAAACACGTTATATCACTTATCATTTTCATTTAAATAATTTTAAAATTGTATTATGTAATACAATATCTATATTTTACAACTGTATGTCTATATATAGTTTATCAAATATACTCATATAACAAAATTTTACCAAAATACCATCTACTTAAAAAATCGTAATTTTGTAAAAAAAACCCCGCACGATCGCTAGTATTACATTACAACAGCTTTTGAATTTGACCCATATGATTCATGACATTACCAGTTGTCTGTAATTACGTTTTTGTCCTCGTTTTACAGATCTTTTAAGTATGGGTTCTTTGTATGTGACGGCCCATATTGAACTCGGGCTTTTCGAACGGTTCTAGCCCGATAAACATTGTGATTATTTTTGTTTTCTTCTCAAAATTTCTGTTGATACCGAATACAAGATTAGAATAGAGGTGTCATAGCAGCAACTACCAACTTCGGGATAAACAAGTCTGGTACAAAAACAATATAGAGATAATTTGAATATTATCATCTAGCATCTAGCAAAGTAAAACCATTAATTTATTTAATTGTTCAAAATTTCGTAATTACGCATTAAATATTATTATAACTTTTTGATGAATACAAAACTGTTCCAGAGAAAGAAAAACACAAATTGATGAAATAACTTTGAAATGAAAAACATTTAAACTTTGATAATATATTTAAATGAAAGGAAACCCCCAAGTGAGGAATAATTTGGTTGTATGTCATGATTTTCTACACAAAAAAAGTGTACTTTAACATCCACAATAATATTCAAATAGTATTTTTGAAAGAAAAACTCATTTTACTGATATTTTTTTTTTAAGAATTGGTTTTTTTTTTTTTTTTGTAAACCTTTAAGAATTGTTCAAAAATTAATATATTCATTTAACTTGTTGTGGGTTAAGTAGCTTAGTTCACATGCATATATAAGCTACATACACCATATAGATTATATATAGCGTGTTTGTGATTCCCCATTAACTGTATTTAAAACATTAAATATGTTTAGTACAAATAATATGTAGTTTAACTTTATAGTTTTAAGGGGAGGGAGCGAATAATTCCAAAAAAAAAAGCTATAATAATGCTAAAAAAGGGAATCGCATCATCATGCATAAAATGTACGATCTCGACACCTGTTTAAGGAAACTTTAGTTAAGATATACAAAGCAAAAGGAATGATTCACGAATATAATAAACTATAACACACACATACAGTATATGTATATATATTCGAATAATTGTAACACTGTCACACTGATCGACCAAAAAGAACATATGCATCTAAGTAAAAGACGATACACACAGTACTTCTTCACTAAACCTAACTAATTTACTTGTAAAACACGTAGATACGTACGTACGTAGCCTTCTTTATTTATAGGCAATCTCTTCATTTTTCTCATCGCCAAATAACTAAAATCTTCTCTACAGTTTTGATGAGATAATTTTTTTAAAAAGAAAGAAAGAAATATAGGCCGATGAAAATTATTAGGAGCGTATAGTGTTTTCTATGTAATCCAAAAAGCTAGCTGAAAAGTAGATAACTGGCACACATGCACTCGATCGTATTATTCTCAAAAAAAAAAATACAATCCCAACTGATGTGAGACTCTAATAAAATTTGTTATCGATCGAGTCATACTTGCAAAAATTGACATAAGATAATATATGATGAATTGTATTTAATTAACTAATTTACTCATAGCTATTTAACTTGAAGATCAAAATTTATGATCCTTCACAATACGTGGGTGGTCATGTATGATAAAAATATGATTTTAGTTATTGGTGCTGAGATATAGTTAGCTTATGAACATGTAAGATAAGTTTGAATGTTTGATTATGGATGTAGTTAACAATTAAAAAAAAAAACGTAAACACTTAAAGTATGTGTGCATACTATGCATTAAATAGGAGAAAGATAGTAATAATTGAAGTAAATAAAGTAGGTAAAGGCAGAAGTTAATCCCTCTCTCAACGGCCACCTACATGTTAAAACATACTTATTGTGGATACAAATCATTTGGAAGATAATGCTAGCTAGCTCTAAATTTATCATCGATCATATGTATTCTACTCCCTTAATCCCTTATACTAAATATATATTCATGTATATCTTCTATATTTTTGGAGCAGCTATATCCTATATAGGTTTTGATTTTCTTTTCATGATTAGCTAGATAAGTTTAACAGGTTCGAGCTAGGATATATCATGCTCTCTCTATATATATTTATATAGGTTCAAATTTTATTTTCTTTTCGTTAAAGTGTTAGATTGTTGTATATATATATATGTTCATTAAAAACACAATGGTTTATGCATATAACAATGAAGGTATTATATGTATGACATGCTTTAGCAAGGAAATGTGGTATCATATATGATTGCAAATAACTAACGAAATATTAAATATAAGGGAGCAAGACTTATAAAATAATATGTGATGAATCCTATATCTATCTTGAAGTACGTAGTATCATTATATTCCATTAAGTACTAGATTACAATTATAAGTTAATAAGGTAAACAAACGAAAGTTTTCTATCTTCTTAGAACTGTGTCGGACATGAAGTTGGTAAAAGGACTAGTAGTGATCATCAAGGGACATGAAGAAGTTGAAGGAGGAAGCAACGTTTCTTGACGATGACTTCTACTTGTATTATTTTGATGATGATGATCTACCATCACTTTGTCGAGTCCTTGATCGTGAAGAATCCCTCTGAAAATGTGTCCTCCGATGTTCACTGTCGTCTGATAAGCGTATTGCTCTTTCCCGTCATGGATTGAACTCACTTTTACGCCGCGGAAATCTGCCGGAAAATTCACCTCTGCCGGAAAATGTCCCTGAGTTGTGCGGATTTGTACACCTAATATCGAAAATAATGTTTCAGTACCACTTTGGTCAAAAGTCAAAAAAAAAATGTTTCAGTACCACATGCATGTTTTGTGATCATAAGTATTGTTTAATAAATTTGCTTAACTTAGTAAGCTATATTGGAAAGAACTAGTCACAAACACAAGATTGCTATACATTTCTAGATATTGTTAAAGATCATAATTAGAGACTATATTAGGGTGATTTATATTTACTAATTAATCTACTTCAAAAAATCAAGAACACACACAAAAAAAAAGAAGAAGAAGAAAACAAAAATCAAGAATCATAAGCAAACAGCTTGTGATTATTTTTACATCAAATAGTAACATCGAGAGTTGTGAAGAAGAAAGAACTTAACTCATCATAGATCTTTTCATATAGACATATGTCAATAAACTTCATAACATGTACATGACTAATCAATATGTAGAATACTTAGTTTTAGGTTCATGAATCTTAATTAACTCAAAAAGTCAACAGACATTCGAAAATGCCAAAAATCAAGATGTGGTCTAGTGAGTATATATATAAAAACACACACATGCACTTATACAAGAGCATATTAAGGAGTAGGAGAGAAAAGAAGGTCATAAGAACCTGATGATGATGAAGGAGAAGAATCTGAAAGTCGTTGTAGTTCTCTCAAACGTTTAATGTTACTACTAGTATTAAAGAGCGGTTGCGGTTGTTGTTGTGGTTGGTGATGAGATCTTCTATAGGCAGGAACCCAAGTGCTTTTGATGTGAGTTTGGCAATGAAAGGCTTTGGATTTGCAGCAAGTTCTGCATCTCATGTAGACACACTCTTTCTTGGCTTGATTCCCACAGTCTTCACACCTTCTCCCCATTATCATCATCATCATCATCATCACATCACATCTTCCTTCTCACACCATATATATATAGAGAGGCCTTACTCTCTTTGTTTGTTTCCCCCTATATGTACAAAAGGAGAATCGGAAGAATTATTTTAAGCTTTTTTGGGTGAAGTTGGGTGAAGTTGTTTATTTATTGTAGTTTTAATTAATTAGTGGGTTCCATTGGTAATTAAAGTCTATTAGGCTTTGAGCACTCTTAACTTTTGTGCATCGAAACAACAAACATAAAGATATTAAAACACAACAGAAAATGCAAAACAGAAATAGAAAATTTCATCTAGTAATTAATTTACAACACTAATTGTAAAGTTGCAAAAGCTTGATGGGTTAATTTTTCTCTACCTACACAACAATGGCATAATTCTATTGACATAGAGTTACATAAAGATATAATTATACTTATGTATCAAATGTCTCATATATCTTAATAATAATCATGAGTGGGAAACTTATGGTATGTACTTTAATTTATCTTATGAATTTATATAAGTGAAGGATGCTTTGTACTATTGTCGGCCGTAAAATTTTATTCATATTCCTTGTGAATTGCAGAGTATAATGACGATTGGTGTTTCACATTTTTTTTTTTCAATTCGACAGTTACTTAAATATATATCCCATCCATATAGTATAGAATAACATAAGAAAAAGATTTGAGAGTTATTGCAGAAGAATATAAAACACAAGAGAAATATTGTCCTTGTAAATGTAATATGGACAGCAGAAATTCCTACAAGTAAATTATTATGACATCAGAAACAAGAAACAACTACTGTAGTTATAAAACGTTGGCGAACAAATTATGTTGTATTTTATATAGTAGTCTCTTACTTAACAGCATCTACTACTAATGGCAGAGTACTTTGAAAGTGAATTAGGCATCAACTGGAACGAAATTTACCAAAAGACAATGGAAACAAACAAACAAACAATTATAAAAGATTACGTCTATATTTCTCATCATAGTGATCGAGTTTAGAATCCGATAGGCCTAAATGAAATGTCCTGAGAATGTAAAATATAAAATCAAACAAAAAGAAATATAACGCAAGACGATATAAAAAAAAAATTCTCATGTTGTCGTCGTTACTAATATAAGAAACAGACTTAAAAGACTTAGAAAAAAGGAGAGTAATGATAGAAGGCGCAGCGGAAAAAATTCACAAACCTGATTTTTTTTTGGTTTAAGTAGACATCATCACAAACACTCTTCTTCCATCAAAAGAGCATCTCGTACTTACCTCACGGATAATCAATCAACCTGACTTATTCACCGGACTTGGGACGCCGAGCATAGCAAACCAGATGCGTCTGCACCAATGACTGCTAGATCACAGACCGTGCAGATGTTACCTTCCTGGCTTGGTACAAACCGGGCAGTGCAGTAAGGACATGAAACGTCTTTCTGTCCTCTGTAGATTGGCACATAAGTCGACCCGCATATCACAAACGGGTTTCTATAGTCGTAATTAAGCGTGGTTGCATCTGTCATGTTGCGTTCAGCAGCTTGCAAAACTTGTCTAGCCGTCCTTGCCTGGCTCTCAATAGTTGGGTTTGTATCCAACAGTCCTCTGGCAAAGTGAGCAGCAGTAGCCATGTTCTTTGCCTTGTAGCAGACTGTCATTGCACTAAAGTACGCGAGCCGTAGGTGAGGCGTTTGGAGTTTACAGTGCGTGAAGTAAGCTGCGAGCTCTTGCTGCCTCACCGGATCATCTTTCATCTCTCTCCTCTTGAGCTCCATTTGAAGACCAAGTACATATTCTTTTACAATGATGACCAGTTCCTTAACTTCGTCGACTTCTCTTCTCGTCTCGACTACCACCAATGGGATGGTTTGGAGGATCGAGAGGAAGACACGGAGAGCCTCAGTTAATTTCCCAGCTGTTGTGGCTTTGTAGCCAGATTTGAGCTTCTCTTCTAGCTGAGAGAATTCAAAAACAAGAGCTGGTGGGCCACGGACATTAGGACTGGAAGACTCGCTCCATCCACGCTCAATGGCAAGAGGAACCACAGGAGATGAAGAAAAGGCACGGAGATAGCTGTGGCTTCCATTGAAAAGATCAAGAAACATCGATTTTAAAGGCGCAAAATTCTTTATGCCAAGCTGTCTGTGGAGCAAACGCATTGCAGTGTCGAAGCTTCCTGCTGCAGCCTGCTCAGCAGCAAGGGAAGATTTCTGGCTCCAAATCTGACTTACGGGCATACCCTGAGTAGGTGTCACAAATACCGATGATCGTGCGTTAGCAGAGGCTTTAGGAGTGTCAAGCTCTGGTGGGAGCTCCAAGTCTTCAAGTCCCCCCCATCCACCTACCTCGTCGTCTTCTTCACCTACTTCTGCACCATCCAATATGGCTTCGATGTCTCTGTTCTCCAAACCATCAGCATTGACCATGTCAAGTCCCTCACCCCAATCTCCTTCAACATCTTCTTCTTCATCATCAACAGCCCCTCCTCTGTTTGCACTCTCAAGCCCTCCTTCAAATATTCCTTTCATCACCCTCAGAAGAGGCCAATCATCACCACACATTATGGGCGTCGGTGGCATTAGAAGCGATGGAGTTTTTCCTTCAGGCAATGAGGGCACATTGTCTCCTAGTTCAGTTGCCAGTCGCTCAGCAATGTCATCTAAACCATGAACCGAAGCTGTGATATAAGCTAGAGGCAAATGACCTGCATTCTCTAGTATCTTAACACGCTCTTTCACATCTCCTAGGTAGAGAGCATTGTGAAACTGACCCATTACATTGTTCTTAACCTCTGCAATCTTCATCAACTTTGATAGCTTGTCTAAGTTACCAGTAATGAGATAAAGAAAAGATAACCTCTCAAAGTTCTTTGTTTGCTGGTACGCAAACTCAACAATTCTAGAATTTCCTTGGCGAAGAGCCTCCACTCCAAGTCTGTACCAGTGGTCTTTCTCATTAATCTCTGTAGCGGATGCAACAGCTACACTGATGTTGCCACTTTCAAGAGCCAAATTGAATCGGATCCTCTCGTCTTCAACAAAGTGGAGGGCAACTTCAGGAAATCCTTTCTGCTGAAGATAAGCAATCATAGCCTGTCCACATAGCTGGGAGTTCTTTATCATGCTCATGACGTGATCATATTTCTTTCTCAGCAGTGCAAGCTTGAAAATGTATTCAGTTGCATTAATGGTGATAGCCCTGTTCTTCCCATCCCGGTCCAAGCAGAAGATTGTATTTCCAGAAACCTTGGTGATATAGATTGGGACATCCAGGGTTCGGATGATACCACTATCCCCATTTGGAAGACAGTACTTGATGTGGTTCAGAGTTGTGTAAATGAAGACACCATTGTCGTCCCAGGCTCCACTTTTCACACGTATTGTCTCATGAAGCGTGCACTGAAGGACGAGTTTTTTGCTCGCAATAATGATAGTATGTTTGCTGAGCAAAGCAACACTCTCCATATCGTTAGACCACACAACATACCTAACAAATGGTGTCTGAAGCTCACCAAGAACAAGCCTTTGCTGAAGGTCAAATATAACCACTTTATCCTCTGATCTACAAAGCAAATTTCCAGTCCCAGCATAAAAGATGGCATCTGTGGGAATAGGCAGAGAACTCTTTTTAACCACCTCGTTCTTTAGATTCTTCACTAACACCTGGCCAGTGCTTTTCTCGAGAACTGCAAACCGATTTCGAGCAATGAATACCGCAGAACCCCCTGTTCCCCTCTTTGCATCTTGCACAACATCACTCCTGCCAACGCTATCCTTTGGTATGATGTACAACTCGTAAGAACCACCATCCAAATCTGAGCAAATCAGGACTGCATTTTCGGTCGGACTGTACGATAAGGTCCTAGGACTCTGGTTCAAGCTTGGGGTACCAGGACGCCGTATAGGAATCACTTGGGAATCTTTTTGGGTTGAATATTCATAGTACCGCAAAAATCTATCCTTGGCATAGAATAATGAATCACCACTCAAAGCAAATGCAGGACGTTCTCTCTCAAGTTTGAAGACAATCATACCATTGTCATGTCCTGCTGCCAGTAAATTAATCTCAGGGTGAACTGCAAGAATCCAGAATCGATCATGCTCACGGCGGAAGGTCTGAATTCCAGTTCGCTTGGTAGCGTCCCAGACACGGATGCTTTTATCCTCAGAATTTGATACAATTATGTCCTGTTTTGCATGGAACATAACAGATGAAACGTTATTCATATGACCTCGCAATGTATCCACCTCCCAAGCTTTAGTTTCTGCAATAAAAGTGAAACACATCGGTACCTCAATGTTTCATAAAATTAACATTATATGAAAAAGAAGACGAATTTCCATAAGACATACCATTCATACGCCAAAGCTTTACTTGGCGGTCATCGGCACCAGAGACAATGAGAGGAAGGGTGGGATGAAAAGAGGCCCAGTTTACTCCTCTATCATGGCCTTCAAGGACGTACTTTACTATAGCATCAACCCCACCAAAAAGATCAGAATTCATCTGACTAAACCGCATGAGATCGTCAGCAGGAGATGCTGACTTCTTCTTAAGAGCACCAATGTCCCAAACACGGACAGTTTGATCCAGTGATGCTGATACAACAAGGTCTTCCTTTGGATGGAAAGAAGCACACATAACATAATGATTGTGACCAGTCAACACGGATATACAAGTCCGTGACTGCCAGTTCCATAAGCGGATAGTCTGATCGTCACTAGCACTCACAATCCATGGGTTTTCGTGGTGAAATTGAACAGTGCGGATATAATCAAGATGCCCGAGAAGAGTGAAAAGACACCTGTGTGTTTTGTAGTTCCAAACTTTAATCTTGTAATCATCCCCTGCAACACCAAATGTTATCAATGCCATCAACTACATGTGAGTAATGTTTTAAAAGAGGATAACTGTAATGAAGAAGAATCCAAGCCATTTGCATTTATAGTTTTTGAGTACTTGCTTTTGTCCAACGAGACAATACAATGCAACATGTACCATAAGATCTGATTTCAGCGGGATAGGACTAATTATCCAATAAGTATCTTAAACACGAATTATAACTCCAGCATGGACTATAAGAGCTTAAGTCATCCATTAAACCGAAGTTGGGACAAATCAACCAAACTATACACTGCAAAGAAACAAAGCTAGATCTAGAAACCGAGGACGCTAGGAGTTAATACTTAGATCAGATCAGGATTTATAGATCAAATCAAAGCATACCTCCAGAGACGAATAAAGGCTGAGAACTGTGGAAATGAACACCACGAACAGGTCCTTCGTGCTCATCAAATCGATCGATCAAAGTACCCATACGATAATCCCAGAGCTGGATCACACCACTGTGCAAACTCGCGAGAATCCATGGTCGTTTAGGGTGGAAACTGAGACCCTTGACTCGGTTACTCTTGGTCTCGAACTTCGTCAGCATATTCACAGATTTCGAAACAGACTGCATAAAAGCAGATCACAGAGAATGAAAATCATGGGAAGGATGAGTCCACGTGAAATGCAAAAAAAAACGAAATCGAGATTGCAAACAGATCTAACGAACAAGAAGCAGTAAGATCCGCGAAATCGAGATATTGAACAATGAAGAAGGAGAAGAAATAGAGATTCACCTCAGATCAGATCAGTTCACAAGGGGAAGCGATCAAGCACAGCTTCACGGTGACGATCAGTAGCATTACCAGAGAAACGTGGATGCGAGAGCAAGAGAAACACAAAGATCGTCGTGATGAAGAAGAAGAAGAAGACGGTGAGATTCAGTTTCGTGGTATAGATCTGAATCCCTCCGCTCAGTTATCTCTGTCTCCAATTCGCGTCTCCACTCCTAATTTAATTGGCATGAATTAATCATTTTTTTTAGTTTTTATATTTTAATTTTATTTTGAAGCATTAACTTCTACTTTTCTTTTTTATTACTACAAGATAATTAAAATCTTTAAAATTTTGACTAGAGCTTCTTACAGTAATATTAAAATCAGAATAACAACACGTTAAATGCACAATCAAAATTATTTTTGTGAGGGGGAAAAAAAAAAAAATTGGAGTTTTTATTATAATAACATAAATTGGATATGTATATCTATAAATACATATATTTACGGAGTTAACCCTGAAGTAATTTCATAATCTCAAATGCCCTTGACTCGATTCCTTTGAGATATTCAGTCAAGATTCGCTGCTGGTATGAACCTCCTTCCTGGTGTAATCAACATAATTCATCGGTTAGACTGATAAATTTTGGAAAACCGTATTGGTACCGTTTGGTTTTGACCCAAACCAAAACCCGGTTAGCCTCACATTTACTTAGAAGAGACAATAGTGCAAACAAATGTTTCATGGTGAGCTCTCTGCGGCTTAAAATGAGGAATTCTTTTGAAATGAATCTGATTCTTTCTAAATCTATATGGTAACTACTGTATCTGGTTTAAATCCAAATCAAACCCGGTTAGCCTCCCATCCACTTTTAAAAGACAACAGACAAGAGGAGGGGAAGGAAAGAATGTTTCAACTTTGAAGGTGTTTGTTCTGTAATGTTGCTTTGTTTAGAGAGTTTTTGTTACTTACAGTTCGAATCAGTGTGCGCTCGATTCGTTTCTTGATAACAGCAGATAGCTCATCAGGCGTGATATCTCCTTTTCCGATTGTTAACCCGTCTACGAAAAGCTTGTTCCATTGTTCCTCAGGAGCTGAAACACACATAATTAACCAATGTGAAGTATGGGGTCTTGTACATTAAAATGAGGTTGCAGAAGATACCTTTGATCAGAGTTTCGAGAAAATGCTCGGCTTTTACAACTTCGTTCCCTGTGACAAGTCAACAACCAGAAGCTCTAATTGATAAGTTTGTGGGAGTTTAGAGATAAGACTATGATTAGATTCTATATGTGGAAAATGGAAGCCTTAGCGTAACTTTACAGAGTTTTCAAAATTGAGCAAATCACCTTTCTTTGCGTAGCTTCGCTTGGAGAGAATCGTGGCAGAATAGAGTTGGAGAACTTTTTGTAGCATAGCTAATAGCCCTGGTTTGTCTTTATCTTCTTTTGCCTGAAAACAAACTTCAGCCTCAAACATTCAAAAAAATACATCTGAACACTGTCAAGGAAAGACCAATTATTAACCCGGAACTCAGTGTTACATAAAAGTCAATTCCTATGAATAATATTTGTAAACGATCTTACAAGTGAAACAAAAAAAAATTTGTACACTTACCTGCCGGAGCTGAGCACTAACTTCTGAAAGAAACCCTTCATCTAATTGCCCTTCTTTTTCCCTTTGTATTATTTCCTGTTAACACACTGTTATCAGCAACCATGACTACATCATATCAAGAAATCCAAAAACTAGATAACCCTTCTAGATATCTAAGGCAGAAGGTTGTAAGCATAACAAAAGAGTAGATGTCTAGTTCAAAAGCAAGTGAAGAAGAACTAGTATATACCTTTTGCATCAGATTGATAGCTTCAGGATCTTTTGGAGGCCATGAAATCTCTTCCACTCCATCTATAGCAGGTCTTAAAATCCCTTTCAGAATATCAGTAGAGGTTTCTATCTTTTCCTACAATGATATATTGAACTCTCAGTTATCTTGTAAAGGAAACACTGAAAACGAAGAGACATGGAACAAAAAAGAAGAAGAGAAGAAAGAAAAACCCGAGTCTTATTCACGACGCAGTCAACTATAGTCATCACAGTTGTAGCTAACTCCTCATAGTCCTTCTGCAAGAAACAAACCATCCCGAAAGCATTAGCGGAAAGCAAAAAAAATAAAAAGCATGCTTCTATCATTGACATAAACAATGTATAAGGGTACCTTGTCATCTTCTGATTTGCATGTATCAGACCTAGCCGCAAGTCTTATCCAAAAAACCTCATCAAAAGCAAGGATATTTTCAACAACAAGCTTCTCAACCTGTTCAAATTCACATGGCAGCAACAGCAGACAAACATACAAAAAAACTCAATTACACAAGAAAAACATAACAAACACACAACATTGAGATTAAGGACTAAAGCTAAAGGCACTAGCAGACTAACTTCTCTAGGGTTTGCATCTCTAAGAGCATCAATCATCCTATCGAGTTCGACAGTCTTCTTAAACGCCTCTTCTGGATCTCCCTTGACTGCACAGATCAAAGTTCTCCTGTTTTATTAGACCCAAAAGATGCAATCATTATCTCATCTCTAAGTACATTACACAAAAACCATAGCTTCAAGGACTATGTTGAGAATTTGTTTTCCAAGTTAGGCGAATCAAAATTAACAAATCGTAGACCAGGACAAAATCACCTTCGCTTCAAATCGACTCCAGAAAGCAGAGAAATCTTCCACAGACTCGAAGATACAAAAACCCTAGAACTCATTCTCCAAAGCGACCCATTCTGCTTGACAATAACGGAGGAATAAAGTCATAAACAACATAGTTTTCGCTATTGGTGAAGAAGTTAGAACAGAGAGAGATTAGAAAATTCACCTGCTCGCGTTGAAGATGATGATGAGAATTGCAAGAGAACAAGCATTGAACAGAGGATATTGCCGCCATTAGAGTAAAGGCACAGAGAAAGCTACTACACTGACGACCGTTCAAACACTCTCGGTAACCAAATCCTCGTCCGGCCAAAACAATTAAGAAAAAAAACAAAAAATAACTCTTATGGTCGCATCATTTTAGCTCACTAGATCCCTAATTGGGCCGTAACAATTACTCTTCGGTCCATTAACGGAAAAGGATCCCTTATTGAGCCGTAACATTTACTCTTCGGTCCATTAACGTAAAAGGATCCCTTATTGGGCTGTAACATTTACTCTTCGATCCATTAACGTAAAGGATCCCTTATTGGGCCGCAACAGTTACGATTCGGTCCATTAACGTAATAGGATCCCTTTTATAAAGCACGTAATCGCGCACGATGACGCCGCCGTCGCACGCAGACACAGTCGAGAAACCCTAAATTCTCTCCGCCACCCAATGAAGAGGAAGAGGAAGGCGAGGAAGAGACCGTCGCCGGAACCATTCCCGATTTTGTCACTCCCGGAAGATTTGGTTTTGAACTGCTTGGCAAGAGTCTCAAGGTTGTACCATCCTGTTCTCTCCTTAGTCTCGAAGAGCTTCCGATCTCTCATTTCTTCACCGAAGCTTTACGTGACTCGGTCGCTCTTAGGCCTCACGGAGAGTTGTCTCTATGTGTGTTTACGGCCATATCCAAACTCTAACCCATGCTGGTTCACTCTCTGCCGGAAGCCAAATAACAGATATCATTTGGTCCCGATAGCGATCTCACCTCCACGTTCTCCTCAAACTTCTCATTGTCTAGCTGTCGTTGCAGTTGGTTCTGATATCTACAGCATTGGTAGCAACAAGAAAGAGAAGTCCAGTGGCGAAGAAGAAGAAGCGGCAGTGTCCATCTTGGACTGCACGTCTAATACGTGGCGTGAGGCTCCGAGCGTGTGTTTGGAGTCGTATTACCCAGCCGCCATTGTTTGCTATGAAGGTATTTACGTAATAAGAGTCTACAGTGCCTCCGATTGGACTCTGGTTACGGATCCAATAATCCAAACTTGGGAGCATGTTTTGTACCCTTTTGATTATTACATATCCAAGAGGGCAACGATTGAAGGAAAAAGCTATGTGTTCGGGCAGAATGGTGCGGCTTACAACTCAAAAGAAGATAGGATCGAAGCTACAGGGCTGCTGCATTATTTGAATCTACAACAGGAGAGGAATTCTTATGTCGTGATAGATAATGTGTTGTACAGAGATTGTGAATCACTTGGAATCCAATGGTACGATTCTAAGGGAGAATACTGGAAATACGTGAAAGGTATCCATGGCCTGCCCTCGTATTATGGTTTGGGTTGTTTTAGATTTGTAGATTATGGTGGAAAGATGGTGGTTTTGTGGGATGATTTGCTGTGCTATGAAATGAGTCCTCCGTCTCCCTGTAGAGACGGAGAGATTTTTTGTGCCGTGATTGCGCTTGAAAGACGCAACAATGAAGAGATTTGGGGTCATTTTGAGTGGTCTGGTGTCGTTCTTACAGTTTCGCCCCCTCACAGTTATCAATTCGTTTATGCTCTTGCCTCTACTGTTTGATGAAGGCTTAAGTTGTGGTGAATATCATCAAGTGATTCTGTGTTGTAGATTATTGTTTTGTTGCTTGCTTTATTCAGTGTGTTTTCACCTGAATACAATAGACATCATTGTTCCTTTTTGTATCAGCTTATTGAATCTCATGAAGATATGAGATTAGTTCAGATATGAGATTATTCATGGGTGATTATTGTCGTATAATTGATACTTCTGTACACTATTGCCAATGCAACTACAAGCAGCATTTGAGCTATGGAACTATTTTCATTAGCTGTAAAAGAATTTCTGTTGATTCTATTACAGAGGTCACAATGGAGAAGAATGAACAGATTAACTCTTTTTTTTTATATGCTATAAATCGAAGTAATACATAGAAGTCAGTCTATATACTTTACCCTTCGTGCACAGACGTATTATGATATGTTTCTTCCTCTCTTTTTTTGCTGTTAGCATGTTATGTTTCCTCTTTCTTTACCACCTTTTTGAATAGAAAGATATAACAAAGACATTACATACAAGAAATGAAAACCAACACGTAATAAAAGAATTCAAGCCTGCCGTTCCAGAAATAGCAAACAAACAGACTTCCATATAGTTCTTCATACCTACAAAATCACATACAATCTTCTTTCAATAACAGATTTCCTGATGTATTTGAACTAAAGCTTAAAGATCTTGTGATAGTGGGAATTACCTTATATTGTGTGCAGGAGAGTGACTAGACTTGCCGCGGGTCAAGACGGGAAGGCGAACAGGCGATCATTGATCTTGGTTCGGCAGATTGGGCACTCCGAGCAGGCAAGTGAACAAGATTTACAGACTGCATAAAAAAAATTTGTGATCATGTTAGGTTTACTTAGTACTTAGTAAAGGATCCTCAGGGAAGTGAGTGAGACTTACGGCAGAAATGACGGCAAGGGAGGAGAATTGTTGCAGTCGGCGATTCAAAACAGACTTTACATATATGTGAGTTTGCATCAGCATTGGCCGCTGCAGCCGCCTGCGATTTCATCTCTTTCTCCTTCATCTCTTGCATCCTTGCCTATTATGTAACAAATCATCAAATGTGGACCAAAAATAAAGCTTATATTGTTTGAATGTGTGTGATTTATGGTTTTCATTACCCGTAAAAAATGTAAGAAGATAACACACGGTAAAACTGTTCATATCCCCAAAGTAATTTGTCTTCTTTATTTTTTATTTTTGGTCACCCCCCAAAGTAACTTGTCTTTGTCCGTAAGAATCACTTGTAATTGTATTAAAGATATTTAGGACATGATATTTGAAAATATTGGATCAGGTAAAGCTATTTACATATTTTGAACCATAAATTTTTGGGTGTTTTGAAGGTCTTAATATCTGTTCATAGCATAACAGACAAGGAAGGAACGGGTGTTTTGGGTGTTTTGCCTACCGCTAGACTGTGTAGTAATTTATAGACAGCTAAGAATGCTGAAAGAAAATAAAAGGCAGAATTGAAAACGCTTTACCTTAAGACGAGCAACAAGGGGTTCCTCCTTTGGCATCTCTTCAGCCTTAGCAACTATTACTTCTTCATGTCCATTAACAACTTGTATTTCTTTCAAAATCGCATTTTGTGGACTCTTATTTTCAAATTCTGTCGCTTCATCTTCCTTTGCAGGCTCGATTTCATCTCTATTTGGTATAGACAAGCCCCCACTACTGGCTTTCTTCAACTTGGCAACAAGTACCCACATGTTGGCTAAATCATTTTCAAGGGCCTCTTCTCTTCTCTTTGCCTCTTCTGCTTTTTTCTTATACTCTTCTTCTATGTATTGTTTCTCAGCTAAGGCAGCCTCGAGAACTGCTTCTCGCTCTTTCCTTGCGTGCAATTCCATTGTGAGATTTTCTTGGTTGAGGTTCCACGAATCTGAGATCCTTGCCTTTCTCCCTGGCCTTGTTCCATTGCGGTTTGCCACACTGTTCATGGAGTTATTATTGTTACGCTTCTGAGCTGCTGCTGCCAAGTCTCTTGCAGCTACTAATTCTTTTTCTAGCTTTGCAATTTGAAGCGAGAGCTTTGTAACTTCATCAGCTAGATTCTTCAGCTCAATAGCAGCTGCAGAGGCCAATTCTTTTGCGTATGAAGCTTCTTCCGCTAATTTTTGATTTTGCACTTGTAATCCACTCTTCTCCTCCACACTGTGCACATGCTCTAGCTTCAACTTTTCGTTCTCAATCTCCTAAAGTTAAAAAAGATCAACGCTCATGTAAATATAATCAGAGGTCCAGTAAACATATATATTGTTTTGTGTGTTCTTCACAGTCTCCTCGTAACCAGTGCAGAAGTTTATCAGGCATACTTGTAAGAATGCATGATTGCAAATTTACACGAAGTGTTGAGATTTTGATAAATTACCTGTGATTGTACTTTCTTTTTCAGCTCGTCAACATACTCTTCAGTCACAGCATCAGAACAAGACAGTGTGGACTTCTGACTCGATAATCGTTTCTCTAGAAGATGCAACTTCTCATGTAACTCATTGTTCTCGGTACACTGCAGTTGTTAGAGCATGTTTATAGAAGTAAGGATGAGTAGCCAAAAGAAAAAATGCTATATATGAAGAATGAGAAAGAAAAAAGAAGTCTGACTTAGAAGTAACCTTTTTCTGTAGTTGTTCTTGGAGAATACGGTTATCTGCTGATATGATCTGATCCATCGATAGAACACAATTATATATATTGACTTTGAGAAATCTTCTATTTTCGCTATAGAAAAAGGCATTTGATTCTAGAGAAACAGTTTACCTCCAGCTCAAAGCTCTTCTCATTGCACTGTGTCATCAATCTCATAACTTTCTGAGAACAACAAAATAATTGTAATGCCTTTAGCTGATCCATTTTGTGTGCATAACTAAATGACCTTAACAGGGTAAAGGGTTATGATAATAAGATGTATAGATTAGATTACCTGTTGCATCTCAATCGATGATGCATTAGCAATTGAAGCTTCACCACTCTCAGTTATACGCTGTTCCAAGGATCTCATTTGTCTTTCCTTTTCTTGAATCTCTCTTTCTAGATTCTGGATCTGCATGCCAGAATATAATAAGTTCCAGAGCTATGCTTATAGGTAAAGAATGGCTTAAATGGAATGCTAATCAAGTTTAGCAAATGGTCTGGAGAATGGAGATGCATTTTCCAATTTTCAGGGTTAAAACGTGAAATTATGTAGATCACAGTCAGACTGGTATATATGGACTGATAAATAAGAATCTTTACTTGGGTTTTCGATTTTTCAGGATCATTTATGGACTGATCCACCAAACGCTTTAGCGTGCTTCTGCTGAAGGCTATCTCACCAGCAAGCATCTTAACTTGTTCAACGAGGAGATCCATTTCATCCGGAGTCATAATTCCCTACAATAGCCATGAGTATCAAATGTCATTTTGCTGACAAGAATACAGTGAAAAAAATATACTCATGGATTAAAAAAGGTTAAACGGGTGCATTTGACACTGAATCATTAAACACCTTTTCCTGTAACCATTTGGATTAAAAAAGAAGAATACACTAAACTTCGAATAAACGAAATTCAATGTAAAACAATATACGCTAAGAATCCTATTACTCACTTGAGTTAATTCTGAACCAGAACCAACTGGAGAGTTTTCATCCTTAAACTTGCTGGAAGACCGCCGTGCATCAGATGCAAGAGAGAGAGTCGAAGATGGAGATGCCAGATTATCACTATCCAAGAGCAGAGAATCCAACTTCTGAAGAGCAAAGAAAACAGAATGAGTCAATCTGGTATCAAATGTCCTGAGCAGTGAGGTACAACCATGCAACAGTAAAAAAAAGGAATCTAGTTACGCAATAATAATCAGATCTGAATTGCAAACTTACATCATCTTTACCGGCAGAAATGCTGCGCTGATGAGCTGGTGTATCACCTAAATATCCAGGAACAGAATTCTTGGTAGAGACTAGTATGAGCTTTGTAAGCTTTTGGATTCTACTCATTAGAGCTGCTTTAGCTTCTTCTTCTTCCTCCAATCTTGATTGCATCTTCACTTGACCTTCTTGTAGCTGTTATTAAAGTGATAGTTCTATTTATTAACCAAATAGAATTAAACTCAAACATTCATGAAATAACAAGGTCTTGGGGAGGTTAGAACCTGCTGCTTTAGGCTCAATAACTCTTCGTGACTGACACCAGCAAGCACACCCCTTCTTAGCTGATCAAGCTCGACTCTGAGAGTCGAAATTTCTTTCTGATATTTCTTAATCAAGGACTTCTCATCTATGATCTGTTTCCAAAAAAAAAAAAAAAACAAATTTAGCCGTGGTTTAGGTTATGCCTTATATAGAACCTAAGTACTTCATGACCAGAAGCCTAAGACATCACCTTATTTCGTGAGGCATTAATTTCTATTCTCTTTGCCCTGCTGGCAAACTTCAATGTATTATGAGTTTCCTCGGTACTGCTTGACGCAGGGGTAACTGTACATATGAGCTATACAAGTTTAAGAAAATAAAAATAGATTAACATCAGCATCCAGCATATAATAGATAGCCAATATAAACAAATCAACATTGCCTTAAAATATGCAGATGGAGACATCAAAATTAAACCATCTGAGACAATCAGCCGTGGGAAACCACTACAGTGAAATGGGAAATATTCACCAGATATAGAAGAGTCGTACCGATACATGGCCATGTCCACTCAGTGAAGATTGCAGAAGACGAGTTAGCTTAGAGTCCCGAAATGGGACATGAGTTGTCTTGCCCTCAGTTAATTTTCCAATCACCTACATATTGAAACCATACGAAATACTTATAATCAAAACATCCTAAAAATCCATTTGAATGGTAAGGTGACTAGAGTTGTTATCCTTGACATAAGAACACAAAAAGGGAACACACTTCTCAGAATATTAAGGCATTGATCATAAAGATACACTAGGACTACTAGATCAGTGCACTGAAGGATAAATTAATCATAGCAACTGAAAATCCCTTTCTGAGCCTCTTTGAGCATCTAGTGCCACCAAATCAGATGTGGTAGCAAACCAGATCGTTCTTCTAAGTCAGTTTTTCATTATACTATCAAAGAAAGTCCAATGTACGTCATATAATTATTGAAAAGGAAGTATCTGTCAAACAAAAAGAAAGCTCAAATAGAAAGAGAGACACCTACAGTTCCAAGAGTCAGAAGACTCTTGTTGATGTA